ACTTATTATTGTTCATTGTACTATCCGATATTCTACCAAATTAAGGCAAGGCGTGTAGGTTTAATTAAACTTACAATTGATATTATCTTTGTTAGTGTATATTTTCACTGCGATTCGCGTGCAATGTCAGACCAGTTGAACTCATGTTCAGCCAATTACGGAACAACTAGATCGAAATGACATATTAATGCTTTGAACGTTCAGACGTGGTGTAGCCAGTTTCAAAAGCAATCATCTCTTTGAACGTAGTTGTATATATTAATTTGCGGTATGAATGGTTTTGCTGTGAAATGGTATATTGCATTACTATACTCAGTTTACAAAATGTAGGCGGTTTTATGGGAAGAAATCTAGCCCTTTCACTACCTTTATAACAATATTTTAATAGCTGAGGTTTGCCAAAACTCAATCAGCTTAAACATGTACATTAAGCAAAAATAAGTCGTGGGGGAACTTCTCCTATCACCTGTGTTGTGAACGGAAGTTTAGTTACAATAGTAATGCTTTTTTATACACTTATTGTTGTTTTTCTAGAGGAGCTGAAGTTGAAGAAGTAAGTTCATGTACGGGCCGGAAAATTAGAAACAAAAAAGTGTAAAATATTAGTGTTTTTTTTTACCAACTTACATTTTATGTCATACTGCTTAAACTATTCCAGCTTGCCGGCTGGCCTTGGTCATTGGGCATAAATTAAATGGTCATACATAGAGAAACATCTGGTATTAGTCAGTAACAAAGCTACAATAAGTCATCTTACATCACACTCTCATCCTCCTTTCTAGGTAAAAAAGCCAGAAAAACTTATTGTTCTGTCCGGAATTTTTTAGCATCGCCTGCAACATCGTGGGAAGTTTTTTAAAATAAGCTATTGCATATACTTTTCCAAAATTGCAACCATCCCTGTTGTGGTTTGTGGTTATACTGGACAGTACCTATTACTGTGAAAGACCCAGAGAGCGTCATGAGCACATTTTACGCAAGCAATGAAGTGTAAAATGAAATGCAGTTTATTGGTCAGTCTACACGTTTACAGTGCGTTCTACATTGAATGATAGGGGAGATAACCAGCTAATGACCACAAGTCATTTGCGCATGTTGTTCATGTCTCTTGCCATTATTACTGTTTCAGGTAGCAAGATTTTGTCATAGACTAAGCAACACAAGTATGGATATATCTGGGGGAGTATGTATTATCTATGATTTTATGTAGCGTGTGTTCTGATAACTTCAACACAACGTAAAATGAAACGTTGTGTTATTTTATTGGTTATTGGTTATTGTACAGTTTCCAATACACTCAGTGTATTAGGTTTCTATAAAGGAATAATATCAAAAGTTTGTAAAATGTTACACTATTCCACGCTTCAGGAAATAGTTCAAATCAAAGCTACCTTGAAGTTGTCAACATAACAGCTTGAAATGATCAAACAGGGGTACCAGTAAAGAACGTTTATGCACCGTTGCAAATTATTTAACAGATTATTTTATGAAACCTTGTACTTAGGGACGGATTTAGCTGAGACCCAGGTTTGTAACCTAAGCCTAGTATCTCGGCAGTTGAGAGGAAGCCTATCTAATGCGAGTTTAAACATCCGTCTGGTCCCAGTTACGCACCGCTAGCTCGGAGCGCGTGCGGTGTCCCTTACTTCCGCTTCCTCCCCTCAAAACTGGCGCCACTAATCATCAATGTTTATAGAAAATTGTTCCAAATCTGGTGTTATTACCAGATGGGCGGATAAATATAGGGCGCTTACTGTGGGTGGTGCAATGGTGTCATGTTTCGTCGGGGGAAAGCGTTCATAAAGATTCGTCACAGTGTTTGCGTAAATCCTGGGACGATTATACTATATCCTTGTAACTTTTGTATATGTATCATTAAAATAAACGGTATCAGCAATCTGACACATAATTTCTCCCATTAGTTTGTCAATGACCTTTATCATGGGTAAGCGTAAGCGATGAGAGTAACTTCAATATTAATAGGTCAAATCACAAAATATATATTTTTTTAATATGGGAAAATAACAAAAGTTACAATAATTTGTTAAGAATTATAAGGATTATCTACTAATTTCAATCAAAACAGGATCGATTTTCTCTTATTATATGTTTTTATTGTAAAATAACATAATTTACAATACATTTCGAACCATATTTTTTTTACAGGAATGGGAGTTAAACCATTTTGTTCAGAATTTAAAGGGCGACAACATACTATTTTTAGACAATATGACCTTTTATATTTAAAATATTAGATTATAATAGACAGAGTCTTTAAAAAAATTATGCTATTTGTAGAGCATTATTTAAAAATATATATATATTATTTTCCAATAATGGAAATAGACTACATCATTTAATTGTGGTAATTTGTATAATGCAATTTTATAACATAAAAATAATGTATATATTCTTTGTATAATACAAGAGACAGCGTGTTTTCAAATCACGGAAAGAGGTTTCGACAAATCCACTTAACAATGTTTATAACTTTCTAGATCCACTTCAAAGTTTGTTTTCGAGCTCCTCTAAATTTGTTAATTGCTTGAGCAACTTTTCCACCGACTGTTTATTTCCACGATGGTTTAAACAGTTGTGTTTACCTATGTATGTTTGCCACGGGTATTTTTAGAGTTTGAAACAACAAGTAAAACAAACATTTCTACAGATTTGAAAACTACATCTTAAACCAGAGGACAAAAGCAGTTTTTTACAAACAGTATGGAATACATGATTTATGTTTTATGATTTATATAATATGATTTATGATTTACTATAGCATTTTTTATGTTCACCGTGATATAATTTGGTACGAGACATAACATTTTAAATGTTACGAATGACTGTTATAAGTCATAAAAGAGAGGTTTAGGATTTCACGTAGTTGTGAGAATTTGTTCTACATATTTTAGGTCAATAATTCAGATGAATCTTTGCTTTGAATTTTTGCCAGGATTTTTGAAATGATACTACTTTGAATATATAAATGCAAATAGCCACTATGGCGTCATATTAGCCCAGTTTCTATAATGACTTAATATGAATATTGTATTAACCTGGAACAGTGCCAAACGTATCTTCCAATACACATGACCTAATTGTACAATATCTTTATTGTGATAAAAATAATATTCAAACGTAAATATTCCGATAATGTGATACGCCTTATAGATGTATATGTTTGATTACATAATGTTTGAAGTACCATTTACGTCATATTAAGGTACAATATTATACTTAAATTATCAACTATTGAGATGGGGACGCCACCTAGATGCGTATATTAATTCAAATATGAGTGTAGAATTAAATTATATCTCAAGAACCCCCCAAGGGAGGGGAACCCCTATGTGAGTTACTTATTTTGACACCTAGAAGCATCGGTCCACCCAGAATGGTGTGAGATGATATGTGGGGTTTTGTTACTGACTAAGATCGGCTGTTTTGTTGGCCTTAATAATTTATTTAAAGCACAGTGATCAGGAAAATCTTGGTCAAGTTTTGAACAAAAGTTACATCTAAGTGAAAGCTCACTGATGACTCCAAACCGTTCAACTTTAGTGCCACGTCTTGTGTTGAAGGGGTAGGGGGTAAAGTTTACAAATAGGTAGTTTTGGGGTTTTTAAGATATGTACATTTTATACGTATGTAGTTTAAAATTATGTTTCACATTAGATGTCGAGATTGTATTGTTTTTTGCTCTTAATGCATAGTATCATCCAGCAGCGAAAAACTTTATTTTACGTGCTTGTTGGAATAATGTACTTATTTTAATCTCTATGGTATTGCTAGTTAAGTATTTAAACTAACGATATCTATTATATTTTCTCTAACGATTAGTTTGTATCCGTGTTATGAGTGCGTAATCTGGTCGTTTAAAAATCACGTAACTGTTAATCTTTTGACATCTACGTGAAACTTGACCAACCACCAATAAATAAAAAATAAGTTCCTCGTCGGTTCTCATATTGAATTTCTCCCTCGAATAACAACAGAATTTTAATATTTATCTTCGTAGCTTCATTTCCTGTAAAAAGGTTGTGTATGTCTTTTTCTACGTGAAAACCTTGTAAATATTTACAATTTAACACTCTTTAAGTTTTTCATTTAATTGTTATGTTTTATTTTTATGTATGTGAAAGTTTCGGAAACGCTATACCATTATAACTAGGGGCAGCTAGGTGCTATACGATATGAGAAACTATTCCAGATAAGGGACTGGAGAGAGTTAAGCAGGAAGTTGCTAATTCCTGTGAGCTTACCTTCCCCAAGCGCCAACTAAAACAACAAATCTGTTATCCCTTATTACAACCACAACTTGGTTAAGCGTTGCACCTCTGGAAGTTTGGCTACTCGAGTTTCATTCTGTGCATTATTAATTACTCTAATCCTGCAACAAATAATGCATTATGTTAACATGTTTACAAAATGCTGTTTGAATAGGTTACGACCAAATCGAACATGAATTTTAATTTAATCACTGAGAAAGCGTGGATTTTAGTAGGTGTTCTATTAAGACATACAGACAACATAAAATGAAATAATAAATAAATAACGTATTTCTTTTGAGGCGACTTTCAACGTTGCAATCAAGTTAAATAAATGGAACAATTGACACAAAAAGTATGCAAATCGATAATGTAATTTTCACCTCCTCATACTAGTTACGAGTTAAGCAAACTTACTTGTATATTTTCTTACAGTATACTAGAATTGTATTAGCTGGCGTGATAGTTACATGTAGAATCGTTCTTTGTCACCAACATTAGATTTGTAAAATGAAGACGTTGATTCTTGGAAGTCCAAAAGTTAATCAACTTGTAGTTGATTTGTCTGACTTCATGACGTCATTGTTATTTGAAATCTTGAAATTGTCCGTTCACCTAAGCGGCAAGTTAGCGACTTTTACATCAACTCACAAAGGATATTTTAAAAATACTTTTACAAAAACTAGCTGTGCTTTGATATTTTAAATTACATTTTATGTTTCCTTTTTCTAGGGCAGTGTGACGTTCCTCTAGGGATGGAGTCCGGTGCCATTCCAGACCAAGACATCACGGCCAGCTCGGCCTATGACTCTGGTAGTGTGGGTCCGCACCACGCCAGGTAAATATACACTGTAGTATCAGATACTTTGAGCATTATGTATTTATCTAATGACGATAAACTCTAGGCCAAAGTGAGAGGTGGTCAGTAAGCCCCCATGGTCTCTATACCACCACTACATTTACATGACAACTTTCTTGAATAATCTGCATATCCTTCTTTTCTTGTTTGTAATGGGTACTGTGGCTTAAGACTACATTTAAGTCAGTTGTGGATGGTATACGTTTAAAGCGCACCAGAGTTTTACAGCTTGAGCTAGGCCTACTACCAAAACGATTTTGATCGTTTTTGTATTATAAAGTCTCTTCTAAAAAAGAAAAAGAAATACTTTAGGGTGTTAGTTAAAATCTATTAGAATCGTTTCGTATCCAACTAAAGTACCTCTTAACCATTCAATACTAAAATATATGTTGGATTAGATTCGATCTAAAATATATTGATGACTGGCGGGATTTGAACCCGTGACCTCAGTGACTAAAGTCCCGTGCTCTATTACCAGACCAGCTCCTCAATATAGTTAGAGTTTTGAATACAGTTCTGAACCAATAACTTATATATTTTGATTACAGTTTAGTTTTCTATTTCATACAAAAACCTTCCATAGAAAATAGTGTAGAAATTTATGAATGGTTTCATCATGTAAACTTTTTAGAATAAGTGAGAGTTTTTAATCGAGTAATCATTGTTCCGTCAACTTTGCGGTAGTAAAGTTTGAAATAGTAGGTGAAACTGTTGTATCAGTAATTTTAATACTTATTTTAAAATTTCCTCGTATCATACTATAACGGTTTATTCAGGAAATATTTTATGTAATTTTAGATAAACGAAAGCACTTAACTCACAAATCCCTTTGAAGTCGTTTGTGTGAAGTTTCCGTTTGACTGTTGATTCTCATTATTCCAGAGAGGTTTTCCAACAAATATTATTTAACTGTTACATTGAAGGTGTTATGTATGTAAAGCAAATAACTCCAGTAAACATTATGACTAAATTAAATTAGCGATTGAATTGAGCATTTATTGATGGTGTTTACTATATGTTAGTCATAAGTTAGTCAATGTGAGCATCGAAGATGTTAATCATAAATTAGTTAATAATGTTTAGTTTTAAACACAAGAAACGTTGGAATAGTCCAATTATTAATAATAACATATTTTCAGAACCAAAGACATAGTAAATTTTTAAAGCCTGTAGAAATACACTCTTATTTATCTTAAACGATGGTTAATAAAATGGAAAGAATTCCTTATACTTTTAATAAGATTTATTAGTTGCCACAACTACAACGTTACACACATATTTGGCTTTTAATCTATAACTTCCTGCTGTGGGTTTGAATAAACAAACTACGCGTTGGATGACACGGATATTCAATGTTTCATATAATTTGTTATCAAAGCTCAATATTGAATCCAATTGAAATATCCCCACGTGTAGTGAACATAAATTATGATATACAATCTACTTAATGGAATTGTGCAGCATTTTTGTTTACTTAGATAACATTTGTTATGGGAATTTGTTAAGAAATTGAGATTAATTTGCTGCTTTGCACCTAAAATCTTGCAGAATAAATCATATAATAAATATAAACATTTATTTAAACAAACTGTAAGTGAAAATAAGCCTTTTTATAACAAAGAATTGTTTATCCTTCCGGTAGTAAATGATGGCATACTTACACATAAAAACGTGTTTAATAATTTAAAACTTAAATAAAATAGAATACCTCCACCGCAGCAAAAATTCTGACTAAGCAAATTGCCCTTGCTTTATAGGATTTTCACTGAAATATTCCCTTAAACTTTAGATTTATTCCAAATTTTAATATAATAAGGTTTAGTTAGTACTCAGGTTTTTTGTGGAAATTAATGTAATTAAGCATGTTTTTTTTTTAATTAAAATTGTAAGAGTTTGGTGGGAAATGAATAAATTTAATAAATTCTACCAAAATATATCTATAAACAAGTAAACAACAACAGTTTCCTTATCTTCTGTAAAATTAACATGGGGATTTGAAATTTATAGTTTTATCTCCTTAACCTTAGACGTACAACAACGCTTCAGGCAATTAAATAATTAGTGCTTTTGAGCCTTACAAAAATTAGATTGGGATATAAATAAAAAAATCTTCAGTTTTGAGGAAAAAGGGGAAACACCGATTTCCGATCATTGTAGGTGTACACATTTGTACCGAATTTCATCAAATTTGGATAATTTTTACTCTAGTTGTTGTGCTAACGAACACATAGAAAAAAAATTGTAAATTGGACTCTGGTCCAGAGAAAAATTAAATTGGTCTTAATACGAAACCTATGGTAATTGCTTATTATTTATATGGGAAATTCGCTAAATCTTAAACATATGTCAGATCATATGATTAAAGCTAGTGAGATGTCTATTCAAATCGTTACACTGCCATCTCGAGTTTGAAGGCGTGCTCATTAGGCAGATATATTGCAGTTGTAAAAATCCAGCGAATCTGAAATGAATGTAAATAAATTACATTCGCCCTTAGGGAAGTTTTCTAAGCGTAAGGTTATGAAAAACTCCTAAAGTTATATTCATAAGCCGAAAATCTGGCATGTGAAAGTCTGAGTTATTGAGGCTAACCTGGAACGATAATTATAGTAACACTTCTTTATATATTTTCCCTAAGTGATAAAAATTACTTACCCCGAAGTATTTTTAGTAGATTTTATTGATCGTTATGAATTATAAAATAATGAATGAAAAATTATTTATAACAGTTTTGAAATCCGAACTACGTTGGTGAGATTGCGTTGGGTTTATTAATAATTCATAGGATTGATAATGGGTCGCATTTTATACATGATTATTAATATTTACATTTATTTATTAATTTAAGCAAAATAATGATGTTCACGTCATATACTGTAGTCTGAGTTTAGCTAAATGCAGCAACTGTCTTAATTTACACTGCCAGTTACTGAACTATCTAAAAACAACTTCAATTGTAACTATAGCAATCTCAATCTTTCAAGATTTTGAAAAAAACTGATTTTTTCCTTTTTTTACTTTGGGGACCCTAAAAAAACATTGTGATCGGGGACATAGGTCTATTACGAAAAAACTGCTGTTTAAAACCCCCCTGAAGGTTCCAAACTTACTTACACAAACAAATTCCCTTAAGTGTTTCCAATTAAAACTATTTATACCTTACCATGAGTTCTTAATTAATTTATCCGAACATTGCAGCCAAAAAACTGCTAAATAGATCATCAAGAACAATCAAGTGAAATAGAATGAAATCCAGTTAAAAGAGAGCAGTCATTAATGAAACAGTAATTGGCGAGCGGCAAAATCAGCTGTTCAACTGTGAACAGATGTTTTGCTCGGCATGTTTTGGCGCTAATTGGTTCCCGCCACGTGACGTCACCACCGACAAGCGACGCGATTGGCTGATAAATCAAGTCAGCTGGAAATGCGGTTTTACTGACACATGTGTTTCATTAGTCACGAATAACGTCTAATTTCCAAACTCTCTGATAATGACGTATCAATTCCATCGCTGTTTGTAACTGTCAGATGATGTTCAGAGTGATGATTTAAAGATGTTTGGAGTTTTGAAGTTATAATTTAATTAGAGGTTATTTTGGTATTTGCAAATGTGTACGAGTATAATATTGAAATGTATAGTGCATGTATAGCTAATATAAACAATTACTACATAGATCTTGAAATGGTACCAGAAATGATCATCTTGTCGTTTTGTATTATTAAAACCAGAATCTAACAAAAATAGTGAAAATTGGACGACAATAATTTTGCAACCAATTTTATTTAACTACAACAAAAATATAACGTTTGTCTTGTACGTTCATTTATGAGAATGCATTCATGTCTACGTTAAAGTGAAAAAGGGAAAAAACAACAGGCGGAAACTAATTGGTTTGGTTAAGCTAATGTTAATATTTATATCTTCATTTTGCATGATCGCAAAGAAGCCAAAACTCTCTTTGAGTAGACTAAAATAGGCCGATCTCTGAAACATCTTGACTGGGACGGGTGGCGTCGTCCTGTAATCCAGGAGGTCACGAATTGTGGATATTTATATGCATGCACTGTGAATGCGATGCTCCCTGGTATGGATTAACGTCCGCACTAGTGAGTACTACAACTATCCGCAGTACTATCCTCATAATTAGACCAATTCGTAAATTACAAGGAAAAAATGTGGTTCGGATTCCACTATAAACTGTAGGTCCTTAGTTGCCATTAGCGGCATGGGCTATTTTAATTAATAGCCCATGACGCTGTGTCTAAGAAACATGTCGGCCTTAGTCACTAACAAGACTACAAGATCGCGCCACTCATCCTACACTCATCCTTCACTGATATTTGGGTTAAAATACGCACATAGTGGCGTCCCCATCTTAAATAATTGATAATTGATATGCGGTAAGTTTTAAATAATTAATTTTCCCTGTAATGACAGGATTTTTTTGTAATAGTTATAAATCCAAACCAAAATTGTCTTATTTGATAGGGATTGATGTTATCCATCCAAAAAGGTTCTGAGTTGATGCATCAGCCTGTTTCTATTTGATTTCAGAAAACCCAGACACACGTATACTGCACAAATCCCACAAGGGACAGGTGCAAACAGAAACCTGCCTTGTTGAAACCAACCAAACATTGTATAAGAAACAAAATATTTATTATATATAAATGAAAATATTATTTTAAGCGTATTGTTTGAACCGTTCCCTATCAAAACTTAAAAAAAATTGGCACTGGTATAGAAACACAAAAAATAAAAATGAAGTAAAAAATAAAATATGTTGTTTCGTGATGCATATAACCATAATCAATATAGGTAATAATACTAATTGGATCCATTACTTGAAGATAATGGACCTTACTTCCAAAAAACGCATTACTCGAGCTTAAATATTGCAAATGTCAAATGTTCTGTATTTTAGTCATAAAGTGTTGAATATGTATCAACGACTCATGCCCCACTTTAATTAAAAGCTTACTTACATTTCAAATCAATAAAAGTAGAATTTAGGTCTCTTTAGGTAAAGCTATGTGTCATTTAAGAGTTTGATTACACAGTATTTAGCCATGCATCATACGTTAGGAAATATGTTCGGTATTTAGGGTTTAAAAAACTTCACAATTTCTAAAAAGAAAGAAATTCGATTGACGAAACCTGCCAATAGAAGCAACAAACAGATATATTTCCATGACAGACAATATTCAACCAAAGGTAAAACTTGTAAAATACTTACATTCCACTTCAAATACAGTCAGTTTTTTCTAACATAAGGCATACATAACAAATCAGAAATAAACCAATAGAGACAACCCTAACCATTCCTGGCTTAGCCCAACTAACGTGACTAATGATATTATTAAATGGTAGCTATACAATTTTTATTAACATTTCAATTTTTTACTATAGATATAGCTTTAGAATAAATCCTATTCCCATATTATAGTGGCAAGTGGCTTTAATAAAATGAACATAGTTAAATTGAGTCACGTTCAATATGATCTATTTGCAGTTTTTGTTTTCTATGAAAGTGATAAAATATACTTATAAAATATAGTCCTCGGGGCAAGCTGAGTATCCGGAAGGCTAGAAGGACATCGTTGCGGAAGCCAAAAACCTACTTCAGTTTTAATAGCCACAGCGGTAAGGTAGGGTAATTAAAGTGATAAAAACTTGAAGCGGATATAATTTTTCTATGGGTAACACAACCTATCCAAGTGACTTATCCAACCTATCTGAGTGGCTTATTCAACAAAAAATGGTTATAGCAGGTCCTTATGGTTGGGATGTTTAGTAAGTTATCCGAAAGCCAATTGTTCCAAGAAATGGTTTCAAAATTAACACCCCATAACACTATGGTATTGTGTTAGTAAACCATACGGCGTGTTACAGGTTGAAGAACGACAAGCACGGTGGTGCATGGTGTCCGAGACACATGGTGACCCAGGAAGCGCGGGAGTTCCTGGAGATTGACCTGAGGGAGGTTCACGTCCTGACGGCCACCAGGACACAGGGACGCTACGGGAACGGTCAGGGTCAGGAGTATACGGAGGAGTTCTACCTAGACTACTGGAGGCCTGGGTTCAGCAAGTGGCGAAGATGGCAGAGCTTTGCTACCAAGTCGGTTAGTATTTTATTTAATTAACAAATTGTTGTTAATCAGCACACAAGCACAGAAATGTGAAGAGGGTAGAAAATTTACCATAACATGTGGGTGAATAGTTCATGGAAAATCTTTAGTCATCAAACCCCTCTAGCTCATTTAAAGTAATTACCAAATGAACCGTATTGGCCAACTGGCCCGAAACCTTATCCCAGTAGTTTGTCAAAACCCGTATAATGGGCAAACGGGGTAAGTATCTGAGATATTTTATGAGATGAAAATCACAAAATTTCAATAACTTTTGAACCATAGATTTTATAGCATTGGGGGTTGTACAGTTTTTTGTTAATTAAAAAAACCACAACACCCTAAGTTTTTTTATAAAAATCTTTTAAGCCGTTTTTTATCTTTATTAAAAAATAATAATTCTAAAAGAATGAAAAAATGCCTGGAGATATTATAGATTACTACCCCTTAATAAATTTCGTCAAAATCGGATCACATGTAGTATGTAGCCTCCACACACACACAAATCTTCAAAAACCACTTTTTTTGTTGCAGGGAACCTTAAAAGATATTTCCACCCAAACCACAAACTAGAAATTGTTGACAACACCCTTAGAGTACTATTAAAACAATACTTTCATGAATCTGGGAGGATGTAAAAATTTATTTGACATTTTCAAAAAAGTCCTTATACACATATTTAATTCGTATGCCCTAATAATACACTACAACTACACGTTTTCGGCTCAAACAGAATTTTAAATATTTCAAAATAATTATAAGACTAGGCCTACACGTACAGTAAAAAATTGTTGCCGAGAGTGTAAAAGTATCTTCCTAACACTACTTTTTGTGGTGTTTCTACTTTCAAAGCCATCATATATTAATCACAACAGAAATACCATTTTCAATCGCTAATCAATCTAAGGGTTTAACCTATCAAAGAGTATTTATAAATAACGCCTTTAAAAATGTTCTCTAAGGTCACAACATTTGTTAACACAAAATATTAGTACTGTGATGATCCGAAAATTCTAATTAAAATTAAACAACAAAATATTTGTACAAATAATTCTTGTAAATCTTCCCCCACAAACAACCAAAAAGGTGCAGCTTAAAGATCTGTCATTCCTTAAAAAAACATAGTTTTTATTAATAAATTAAACAGAAACCCAGAACATATATGTTTTTTATCCATAATCGCTCTAGCCCCAGTGTGCCTGCAAGTGGGGGCTGTGGGTCGATATGGTCGGTTATGGGGGCTGTAAAATGTTTATGCACAGTTTTACTGCCAGACCACCCCCAGCTGTAAGTTCGTAATATCTCCACGGCACAGCATGCACTGAAACCCACTTTGAGTTTTATTTTTTAGGTTAATGTTAATGGAACTTGTAGCTGTAAGCAACATGATGAAAGTGGTTTGACAGAATACTTACGAACAATAAAACCACAAAGGCAAGTCTTACAATATTAGAGTGAGATGTTAAATTATTACCATTAAAATGGATTCTACCATCGAACAATATTTTAACTGATTTATGGTGTGGTTATAAAATATTGGAATTTTTTATCATTGATTATTGTTTGAGACTTTTTGCTGGTTAAGTGCTTAGGTTCTTAGCGTTGGGAGGGATAGAAGTAGAATCAATTTCTTCAATACAACTTGAAGACTATTAACTACTGTTTTCCTGAAACTTGGGCCCTGGTGTGTTAAAATCATGGATGCACAAAGCTTTTCTAAAGCTAATTTTAAAAAATCGTAAAATATTGCTTAAAATCACGTTACGTTGAAATGGTTTTGTAGTAGTTTCCAAAATGTAGCTAGGAAAGTAAACAACGATATAAAAAAAGATTTCTCTTAGTTTTTTTTTTTTACTTTTATGACAAATATTTTTATAAGCCTCCAGGATTGAGCAAAAAATGCAAGTGAAAATATCTAAATTTGCACACTTGTACACTTTATTAGATAGTTTATATAATAGTCTAGATATAACTGATAGTTTGCTAACAGCTAATACTCTTGATTTTGAATCTGTTAAGCATGTTATAAAACATGACCAAAAATACTTTTATCTAAACCACGATAACCGGAAATAGTACCCAGTGTCATTGATAACATCGAGATATACAAGGTGGAACCAAGTTAGTGTTATAGTATAATTCGTTCTTAATTTTTCGTACTTAATTCCTTTTTAGTTGGCCCGAAAACCAATTCGGCCCGTGGTACGAACGCTATTTTTTTACCACACTATACCCTTTATTACCACTATTCACCACAATACTCATTGTCATTTTCAGAATCCTCAGTAAAGTTTCAATATTAATAGTACAAAGTCTTTGAGATCAAACATCTGTGTAGCTTATTATGTTAAGGATGTTTGACTTTGTGATGGAAATGACAATGACGTTGAAATAAAAGCAATCTTTAGGGCACTTATGGTAATTTTATCAACGCAAATATTTTGGAAAAGATTCTATTTTGTCTGTTATTGCCTACCTGTGAAGGTATGGAAATTTAAATTGGCACCATTTTGTCAGTAACACTTGGTAGTTTAACACATACACATGTTTAACACTAACTTCGTTCCACTCTGTATTGTATATTGTCACTTTATATTTCACTTGGTTTTGGTTTTAAGAACCTTTCAGACTTAAAGTAGAGGACCCCCTTCATGATGATTTAAGTATAAATATACGAGTTTTTAATATTGAAATCAAAAGCATTACGTAAATATTTGATAACACTTTAAAAACTCAATTGACACGCACGATGTTAAATTTTACACACAATGTAAAATTTCACCTTAGATAAATACTCCGCTACGAAGGTAGAATAGAAAGTTTCACCAGGAAAATTTGGAAATATCGACGAATCCTGTGCAATTAAGGTCGCCCCATTAGGACATTGATCCTGCCTTCGACGAGTAGCTGGAATACAAATCACTACAGTCCTTGTTGGATTCGGTTGGCTGTGTTACTGTTGTTTCGTGGCTGCACATTCAATTTACATATACTAGTTTTGGCAATACATCTTGTAGTAGGTAGTATTTAATGAGGGTTAATTGAAACTAAATTAACCGTGCTACGTACTTTATGCGTACGAATAATTGTTTATGTTTCTGGTATATACATAATCAGTCTGAACATGTAAGACGGTTTGAAAAGTAATTAAAACAAGTAAAAACACTTAATTTATACTGTTAAGCAAAAAAAAAATATTTAATAGCATTTTATAAACAACGTAGGATAAAGTACCAAACTAAAGGTGCTGAAAACAATAAGTTTAAAAAATGTCTACTTATGGTTGTCTGTCATATGAATAAACAAAGCAAATCATTCTTCCGTTCATAAAATCAAAGTTTAATTTTAATAATTTAATAAGTTTGCATATGTAATTATGACGACAAACTTAAATTACAAATTTTAACCAATGCATCGATTTAAATGAAGATTTTCGTAAGCCAAAACAAAAACAGTTTTACTTTAGCAATCACAACCCAATTTTTGTTACATTTGACATTTTCTAAAAGTTTTACACTTTATAACTACGGTTCATGAAGTTTTTGCACGTATTTAATCTTCTTTTCGTGGATATGTGGGGTTCAAAATAATTGAAGTCAAACACTCAAAATGTGTACTTATTTCAAACATTAAATCCAACTTATCTTTCATAAAGCTTAATTTTGAAACTCGCTTTACACTCTAGAATATAAAGAAAAGTTTACCCACTTTAGGACTAAAGACTGAGCAAAGTTGAAAGTTGTTAAAGATTCCAGAAGCTTAGCATTGACGGCGTTCATAATTACAGGAAAGTGTTCGCGGTAGAGAGCGTCCTTTATAAGGTGATCTTTTATATTAGAAAAGTATTCTCATAAAGCTTAGGGCACACTTTTACCTTTTTCCTTTAAAAAAGTCTTATTGAGATAAGTGTTCTTTTATTAGGTAAGTAGGTACTTGAGACACGCAGTTAAGTGTTTATAAAAGAAGAGCTTTCGTGGTGTAATGAATTAAGCAGTTTAATAGGTAAAATTATAGAGTTTTCTTCTTTGTTTAAGTGTTTCAAAGTTCTTTTTAGTATGGTGTACTATATTGTGTGCCACTTTTCCTATGATACATATTGTGTGTAAAATAAATATAAGTTAGGAGCACGACATTGTATACACGTGTTTAACAGTTTGTAAATGTTGATTGATAAATGGAATTCCTAGACATACTTTATTATTGTCAATCCTCTGAAGGTTGTTTACCCTAACTCTTGAGCCCTTAGGACAATTATTTTCATCCAAAAAAATGTGACGTTTGAAAATTTGTCTCAGAGAGAAAACCTTCGAATCGATACCAAGAGCCTTGGTTTAAAAATTATTGACAACTCAAACGGTGATATAAAGCGTAGGTAAAACGCTAGACTAACAAGAATTACATTAGATGTGGTATAATGAACGGTTCAAACCTTGGTCTTTTTACAATGTTGACCTTTTGGTAGATAGCACCGGTAATAGATTAATCAACTTATGGTTTAGAGCTTCAGTGTTTGAGGAAAAGGTAAAAATTAATATGAGTTTATAGATGTGAGTGTAGCAAGATTTCTTAATACAATTATTCTTTCCTGAATCAACAGTTGTTTTCTTTAATTTCAACATGAAATAACTCGGGATATCAAAAACATTTGGGTTGACCAACATAAAATTGTTTTTGTTTGCCACTGGTGATGACACAATGAAAAAGAATCGGCTTCACTCAGGATCTAACCAACAACCTCCGGATTAAATGCAAGCACCTATAACCCCTGTCTGTTTACAGGTACTACCTGGTAATACGGACACCATTACCGTGGTAGAACAGAACCTCCAGCCAGCCCTCATAGCCAGCAGAGTCCGGTTCGTTCCCTTCACATCACATGTGCGGACAGTCTGTCTGCGGGTGGAGCTGGTCGGATGTCCATGGACAGGTAAGTAAAAAGTTGTAGAAAAGAACCAATACTAGAAAACCAGTGTCCAGCTGGAGCAGATTGTTTTGTAGAATGCAGTTGAACGCGTTTCTCACAGTATACCCTGAAGGCATTATTGACTATATACTCTAGTTTTTGGTACCATGGTAACTGGCTCTTAAGCAAAACTGGCTTACTGGTATGCTGTATGATAAAGTTTTTAATGTTCCGCTATTGATTGTAAACTCTTGACTTATATGTCAATCTCACTCACATTTTTGTGTACAGGTTAAGAAAAACATTTGATGTATTTTAATAACTTGCTCTTTGGAAAAGGGGAACATCTTCAATTATTTATGACTTAAATGGTTCAATATATGAGAAATAAATAAACCTAATGCCATAATCCCTCGTTTGTTAAACTATTGTTGAATAGTAGAATCATAATATTTAACATTTTAAAACTGTTAGTAGAAAAAAAACACAGTTATAATTTTAAAATGACAAAGCCAGGAGTTTAAACTACAATATGTCGAAATCTCTTTTGCAAAGTTTCAACCAGTAACTAAGAAACATATAATAACTAATTTTTGTAATAACATTTTTTAGTTAAAGATACAGAATTACAAGTGTAACATTGAGTAAAAAAGTAGTTGTAACTTTGCTTAAAATACTGGCTAAAAGAGTAGATCAATAAAATGACATGGAATGTAAACCAAAGTTAAATCAATAGTAGACCTATAAAAGCGAAAAAATAAAACACAATTCACCTGTAAACTAAACCGTATGTACATTGTACAATCGGTTTTATCTACTATTATCCATCGATGGATAGATGAGGATTGGAGTAGTCAGCCCATAAGGAACATTAAAAGAGTAATAAAGATCAATGTAACGTAATCACAAGATGTTTCATTCAGTTTCAATTACCAACAACTGTAATAACTACTTTCATGCAACGATTCAAACGCAATACAGTTGCCATTTACCAAATAGTTTTCAATTTTTAGATAGAAACAATTTGTATCACGCATAATGCATTTTATGTTTACGATATATATACCACAATGATTAATAATTATTAGCTAACTTACATCGTTTTCCTCTTAGATCTCATTATTTATTAAGTAATGTAAATCGTGGTGTATTGTTAACTCCAGAACAATGTTTTACCATGCTGTGGACAATAACTGAGAAATATTGCCTGTGTAGTCCATTATCGAAACACGGTCATCGATCTATCGACGTAGCGACTGGTCGATAGTCAACAAACAATGCCACTAATGCATTATCGGCTTCCAATCAGCTGTTGCGGTCGGGAGTTGGCAGCAGTTGTTAGCGATGGCTGACGTCATTAGTTAAATTGTTTTTCATTCTGCGTGTGTTTCAAGTCTGATCAACAGTTTACGGAGTATTTTTCTGATATTGGACTAAAATGAAACAAATTATTGCCAAGGCAAACAATACAAGTTTTCAACCATTTCACTTTTTAAGTTTTAAACTGTTGTAACATATAGGATGACAATATTTTATTGAGATCATGTATAAGAAAGTGTTGGTTTATTCTAAGATACCCTTAGTACCTTATATGATTTAATATGTTTTCTTTGTTTAAAAACAGAAAAAAATACATTAGAGATAGCATGTGACTTATATGTATACTCACAGTTTACATTTATAAGTCGTGAATAAAGTACGGCGTTATCTATTTATCTTTAGTTCACATTAGCTATTCAACTTCACATATTTAAGCAGGTTCGTGGCCAAGTAACATACTAACCCAGTTTACCTCAACATGCTTTGTGTTAGTAAAATTATTTCTCCTATTACGTATCTTTCATGGTACTTTATATTTCAGTCTTAATTAATTAAGATATAGTTACTGATAAGGCCAGTAATTGATTTTTTATTGTTTAAAGCCGTTGGCAGTTTTAACAAGTTTTTGCAAGACAACTGTCAACCTGTTTTTTGATGGCCTCAACAAAATAGTCCAATTAAAATGCACCTTTCGGAGTCCATCTCACTTAAAATGGAACCAGCAACATTCAGCATTACGACCATCAAGCTGTACACACAAATAATTTCCCGTACAATAAAAACATGAACTCTACTCTTCTTATACTGTACTTTAAAAGTAAATGTATTTCATGAAGATCAAATTACAGTGGATGATGACGGTACTGGTGAATGTTTCAGAGGGGGTGATCAGCTACTCTATGCCCCAAGGAGCTGTGCAGGGCTCAGAGATGGACCTGAGGGACCGTAGCTACGACGGTCGGGAGGAGGGTGGTCTCCTGACAGAGGGGTTGGGTCAATTGACAGACGGTCTCTGGGGTTATGACTCCTTCCGAATGGATCTAGAGGCCTCTCCGAAAGGTTGGTTTAAAAAAGTTGTTTTAATAATATTGAGGTTTATTATTTAAATTATTTTTTTTATTTAAAGGTAGCTTAGTTAACTGTGGCTTGGTTTATATGAAGTTGCTGACATTTAAAAATGTTTTATCATAACTATTTTTTGAAAACTATTAAAGATGGAGGACTAAAAATATAACAATATTAACTTTTTCCCTAATCATATAGCTTACGGTACACTACGGTACATTTTTGTATCTATTTAAAAGTAATAGAATTGAATCCTAATTGAAATAGTAACTCAATCAATATAAACTTACTGTAATTCCAAAAACACTACTTTTATCCCACATTGACAGTTGATTTAAAATGGTTAAGACATATTTTGTAAATGCTATAAAAAGAATGTCCTGGATAAAATGATAGTTTATATAGAATATTGATACTGAATTGGTGTCAAAATAAAAATATTTATAAGACATTAGCTGCCCCTATAAATAAGTAATAAATAAATTTGACTTTATTTGAGCGCATTTTTTCCGAATATTGTTTTAACACAAACTCTAGTTAGTCTATTATTGAAAATATAATGAAAAACTAATCAGGTTAGATCAGGCTAGCTGTTATCTAATTATACTCTGGCCCTACAAGAGAATTCAGTTTCTGTGTAAGACTATAATGGTGTTTAATAGCATAAAAGCTGCCTTATTGGATAAAATAAAATCAGAAAATTCGAAAAACGTATTCTAGTAACGATTTAAATTTTAAGGTTGTAGAACCTTTTATTACAGTACTACGATTGTAGCAGTTGTACTGTCAAACTAAAACAACCATAAATAAGATTTTTTGTTCCTTTACATTCTTTCCTTATATTAATTTGGTGTAACATTAGAGCAAGTATTGTAAGTTAGTCAACCCACCACACTCTGTGATCATCCATGTTGCAGGGTTCGGATGGGTGGGCTGGAGGAACGACACGCCGGGCTTGCTGGGTAATCCTGTGGAAATTGTTTTCGAGTTTGACCGCGTTCGCAACTTCTCAGCAATGCACCTTTACACCAACAATCTCTTCTCGAGGGAAATTCAGGTACATAAACGAGTTAGAGGTTATTACTTGAGAACGTTGTTTTGTATTTTTACAATTGTTTTGTAACACGAAAGAGATGTAATATTTTTTATGCGAATTAATTTCTGCAGATATAAAGTATTTACTTGTAGTACTGTTAAGATATAATTTTATCTCGAACTTTGTTACAAAATAACTCTACACCTATTGAAACTTAAAGCTATTTTAGCCTGCACCCGCCTACACCATGTGGTAAGTTTCTTAATGCATTCTTACATACGGACGGTATAATTGTACTTTCATTTGCTAAAGAACGATCACTACCAGCCCGTATAAAAAAATCAATCTCTTAAACGCATATAACATCCTTTTTTAGTACTTTTTATACAAATAACAATCATATTATAAAAAAAACTTGAAATTATAATTCTAAGTTCGTGAAAAATCTGAATGATTTTCCAGCTTGCTATAGGCTACAGGAGTTTTTAGTGTAAAAGAATCCTAACAATAAAATGTTTCCACTACAGGTAGTGCTTAGCCAAGTTCCGAATAGTTTTGAAACATCTCTCTTACTTTAAAACAAACTTTTACAATCTGCACTCTCGTTACTTTTGCCTTCCAAATGTCACTACAATGGTCAGATCTCAGGAAGTCGTCAGCTCTGGATGAACCTGAATGAATCCCTTATATTCTAGACTTGATCAAGGAGCATGCCAGGAACATCACTATCGATATATACCAATGAGTCCATTTCTCCTACATGCTAGATCTGATCATGGAACATGCCAGTATCGTCACTGTTGATATATACCAATGAGTCAGACACTTTCCCCAGTGTCTATAACCATGTTCAATGTTCTCAGGTGTTCTCACATGCCAAGGTGTACCTGAGTATAGGAGGTCGTCAGTTCCCGGGTGAGCCTGTCCACTTCTCCTACATGCCAGGTCTGATCATGGAACATGCCAGTATCGTCACTGTTGATATATACCAATGAGTCAGACACTTCCCCAGTGTTCATAACCATGTTCAATGTTCTCAGGTGTTCTCACATGCCAAGGTGTACCTGAGTATAGGAGGTCGTCAGTTCCCCGGTGAGCCCGTCCACTTCTCCTACATGCCAGATCTGATCATGGAACATGCCAGGAACGTAACTGTCAAGCTCCACCACAGGATCGGAAGGTTCCTGAAGCTACAGATCTACTTCGCCGCTACATGGATTCTCCTCAGCGAAGTTTCCTTTGAATCAGGTAATTTATTAGTTTTTCAAACCCGATATTATATCAGTACTTGGTTTGGTGATCATATTTAAAAAATCCGCGTTTTTTTATTTTGGGGTTGTTAAACTTTTGGATTTAGTTTTAAAATCCTGTGTCAGTTTGCTCATATTGTCAAATATTGGATGTGTATGGTTGTCATTTAAAAATGGCTCATAAACCATACGACAATTCCATTATCGATACATGTACGAGTATACATGCTAACTATTTAAAAAGGTCTTGAATTGTATTTGCAAGCATTTTTTATTAATATAATAATTTAACTTTGTCTCGTTAAGGTTACCTCCCTGTTATGGACAATGTATTATGGATAGAAAAATAACTCAGTGATAGTAATATAACATCTCGTGGAAACATATATATATCGAGAAAGAATTATGCTGATTTGAATCGATTGAAGATAAACTGGGTTTGTATAATACTGTACTAGGTCACAGGCCTTGAATAACTATAAAGTATCAAAGATTAGCAGCTTTATACAGGGTGATCAACTCAAGGAGGCCACCTTTGGGATATCGGAAACGGTAAGAATTAGAGAAAACTTGTTTCTACATCATGTAAAATATAAACCGGAAGTAATTTTTCCATAGGTAACTCCTAAACGAGTGGGTTTATCGAAAAAATGTCAGGAATAAAAAAGTTTTTAAATTGCATGTTCTATCCGAAAACATGATAAAATATAGGAAGTTCTATAAGAAATTTTAAAGTTGGCCGCCATTTTTGAAAATGGCGGCTGAATTTCGGAAAACTAAGATCATATTTTTAACTGCCACAAAAAATAGAGGAATGTCCCCATTTAAAGTTTTCTCTAATTCTTACCGTTTCCGATATCCCAATGGTAACCTCCTTGAGTTGATCACCCTGTATAAAGATTTAGGAAATGTAAAATGTAAACATTGCGTATATGATCCCAAAAATGCGGTTTGTGATTACGAAAATCTATAATCAAAATTAGTTTATAATGAAGCTAACATGTTATACAAGCAAGTTAAACACAATTGTTATTAAAGATTATAACTAACAAATACTTCTTTTCTTGATTATACTCTGTTCAAACGAAATATAATTCCAATAGTAACTGAATTGTACAACTTGAAAACATTGTTTTTATGAGGCACTTTGTATGATGTTTGGAGTGATAAAGTCCAATATACGAAATAGCAAAAACCCCTATAGGACCCAAAACACACGCAGAATGAAAAAACTTGTTATCTAATGACATCAGCCATCGCTAACAACTGCTGCCAACTCCGACCACAACCTCTAATGCATTAGTGGTATTGTTTGTTGACTATCAACCAGTCGCTACGTCGATACATCGATTACCGTGTTTTCGATTATGAACTACACAGTCACGTTTTTCACTTTATTAATGGTGGATAGCATGATTGAAACAGTTTCGGAGTTAATTATTTATATCAAATTATCACTTATAGGGCATTCATATCGTCAATATTATTGTTTGGAAGCCGTTCTAATGGTAAGCTAGAGTGGGCCTAAATGTATATCGATACATCGATATTAATGTGATTTGCGTGATGCGATTGTTCGGAGTTGGCACTGTTTGTTATTTCACAGTCAATAACTCGATATATCAATGTATTATGATGTAACGCAAGGCACAGCATGGCACAGTGTTTTTATAGTTACCCAAAGTATACAGGTAAACACTTAAATTTTTCGGTCTTATTAATATTTAGCAGATAAAATAACCCAGACTTCAACACGCCATAAAGAAGATTTACATTACCATAAAAGGTGGAATTAAAGTAAAGATGGGATTTTTTGTATGATTTGTGAATGCAGCAGTTATCGTCAACTTTTTAAACCTGCAAAACGTCCATTTTCTTAATTTTTAGGACAAATGCCACTCGATCATAATACTAATAACTACTGTTATTGGATGAGAATTTATGCCAGTATTTTTTGTCCAACAAAGACATATTCTTCATTACTAATGAAGCCTTTCAAACCTTTTAAATTGTAAGAATAGGTAGAAAAATATATAAATACGGGATTTAAAAATGAGGCTAGTATATTCTGTAATTTAATCGATAATTATCACCGTTATTCCTGCACACAACGTTTTGTAAGATAGTTAATCCAACTAAAATACAAAACAATGAAAAATATAGTATAGGGAATCATAATTCCTACAATTTTTATTCTACTTTGAGTTTTTACAACAATTCTTGTGTATCCGGACTACATAAAGTTAACCGATATAAAAACTTGATAACTAGAATATCTAATCTAAACTAGTTGTTTCTATCTTTTAACCATTTTTACTTATATCTCAAAAATCATATTGGCCCCAAAAATAAACCAGCATTAATTTACTGAATGTGACTCGGTATGTAAAACCAGTATTGTAGACTGTTCTGTATATTTTAAACCTCTTTAAAATAAATTATTTATTAAAACATTCTTATGTACACTAAAATGTATTTAACTATTATGAACTTCCTCTAACACATGGTAAATTAGTCCAGGTTTCGTTATTAATTTTTTTTTACTACCTAAAAGGTTCCTAAAATACTACTAAACTTGTAAAGAATAATTAATATGCTGTGTGGTAATATGCTGAACATCAGAATTAGTTAGGTGTGTGTTGAATGTACCAGGATGATAAACTGTATCTGTTAGTTATGAACTGTCTAGTCAGCATATTACATACCACAGAGTTGTGTAGTCTCAAACATAGTTTATTTTGCGTAAAACTAGGTCGATTGCTGGATTTTAGATACGTAAAAAGATTTGAAATAAAAATACAACATAAAGTAGACTGTTAACATACTGGTAAGGCAACTAACACATTTTAAGCAATATTAAGTTCGTTCTTACAGAAGTACGACAAATTGAATTATGTGAGCGCAGAGTTTGAATACATGAGTAAAAAATCTATCCATTATATTTTGATGTCAAAATTACATGGATTAAATTTTTGTAACATAAAATTGATAACAAAATCTTACAAAAAATTGTCATAGAAGTTGGTAGCTGTGTTTATTTAATTATTATAATGATGTGTTTATTTAATTATTGAATTATAATGATCATTGGTTATCAGAGGGTCGACGGTTTCGGATGATATTAATAGTTAGACACCAGACAAAGGTTGCGGATCATAAAGGGTTTTCCATTGACTCGATAGTATTAAGATTTTCCATAAATAGTCCTAGATTATAAGCTGCAATAAGTAACAAAGGTATACAAGGTATCCCAACAGGTTTGGTATTGTGCACAGGGAAAATCATTCAAACGGTGTAATCAAATCATATTAATAAATTATTCAAGCATTTGCAAAACGAAAGAAAAGTCTTATGGTAAATAGTTTTACGTAACTTATCATGGCTGGAAAAGACCGCGAGGCAAGTTGTATGCGTGACACGTCAGTCAGATTTATACAAGGAAAGAGTAAAGACTAACTAGACTAAGACAGCGACACGCTACGACTTGAAGACATCGACCAGGTCGTGACGTCAGACTTGGAAATAGGCAACACGTCATACTAGAAATAACAAACTCCTGTGTTCGAGTGAAATAGGGAAGAAAGGTTTAGATGTGGAAACAATATAACTAATGACGTCACTTATTGATCAAATCATCTATGATCACATTCCTTCCCAACACAGCTGATTGGCAACTTATGATGCGTTAGTGGATAATAAGAGTTGGTTACTGACCACTCTCAACTTCGTTATATTGATATGTGATGTTTTAACTATTTGTAATTGGCAAATGTTATAGGTATACATAATGTTTGTAAAATATCTGACAGTATGTTGGAATTAGACGGTGTTGTTTGTTATGCTCAATGCGTGTTAGAATTCGTTATTTTTTTTTTTTAATACTTATCGATAAGTGATGGCATTAATGTATAGTAGTTTTTTACGTGGCAATATCAGAGTGGATAAACAAATATGCTGGGGTAAAGTGTAAACACTGTTTTATTGATTAACTAAAAGTAAATTAATATGCTGAAATATTCACAACTAAAGAATGCCACTCACACTCTACTGTATATATAACATACCGAAAATTCTTTAACTGTTTTGTTGGTATTACAAATCTACTCAGTGGTATGCTTAATACAAATTTACACTTATGAAAATCTGTATGTAGTTTAGTCTGTTGTGTGTAGCCTACTGTGTAAGCCGTTGAACTCATATATTTCCAAACAATTTTATTATCATCAATTTTGGTTTCTCTAAACTCAAAATCGAATGTTACTGAATTTATGTTTTGGTAGTAAGGTGTGAATTTTCAATAATTTGATGGTATTCAGACACGGTTAATACCTATACCAGGCTTAATTTATTTATAAAACTGATTACGAAATACGTCATATCTTATAATAAAAAGTGTCAAAACATTCTCAAAGAGACTAAAATGTCCCAAAACAACGAAAGAGAGGTCTCATTCAAGTGTTTCATAGCCTTCTGTAAGCACTTTTAGTGTTTCAAAATGTGGAATCAAAAGGACTTCAGTTTTATGAATGCCAGTGACAACCTTTTCAAACCCGAATATGAATTCAGAATAAAAATTGAATCATGAAACGTTAGTGTAGCTTTTGAAATGTTTATGATTTTTATCCCTAATAAAAATCTTTCAAAGCAGTCAGAAGTAAGCCTGCATACTATATACTGTATGTTCTAACACAACCCAGACAGGTTTGTTGTACGCTTTGCGCTGGTTTTTTATTACTGCTTTATAATGTCTAGGGAATCTAATTTTAACTTTGTATGGATGAGATACAGTTTGTTAACTAGTTAGGAGTTGCTTTCGACGTACTTTACTCGTGCGCGATAGCTATCGACGCAAGTTTTACCAGTATTAGATCACAACTTAGTTAATCACAATGAATGCTCAGTTCCACTTAATTAACCGTTTCTTAATCTCTAGCTTGCATTAAGTATACAGTTTCTCTTTTTATAAGTATTTTGGGAGTTCCAACTAATCTCATGACA